AGCATGATTTTCACTACCCAGTACTCGCCTACCCACATCATCGTTGCGGACAAGCTGGTGCCATCCGACACCAGCGATGCTTCGCAGACAACGGTGATGAAAGACTTGAAGGCCCCTCAGGTCTTCAGACCGAAGGGACCAAGTCTCACTACCATAGAGCAGAACGGCCCTCACTGTGGCCTTGTATAAACGACCTTTCAGACAAAGGGAAATTCCCTTCTGTCGCTAAAGATGCCGCAGGTTCAAGAATGCAGCTCTGGCCTTTGCAATACGTGAACTGACGTCAGTTTCTATGAGCCCATCATTGCTGATGCAGCTGCCAACATAAGTGAATTGATCAACCACCTAGGGATCCAGTTACAAAGGGTCATAAAGTGGCGGGTGGTCCTGCAGCAACACTTTGCACTTTGAAGGTGCAAAGCGCATACCAAATAAGGGGACCACACTAGACAGGCTATTCAGGGTTGATTGTGCTGCCGCAACATCGTCGTAAAGCAAGACGATATCGTCCGCATAATCAATATCAACTAATCTTTCACCAGGAAGCACTTCAACGCCTACATCATGAGATTCCGCAAGGGAACCCAGTATGATAGAATCCACCACGAAATTGAACAAAAAGTGAGGAAATCGGACAACCCTGACGAATGCCACTTGTGGTCGGAAAGCTATCCGATAGGTCACCGTAGGCCCTGACACGGCCCGTGGTGTTCGAGTATAGAGCACGTATGATGTCCACATATTTCGTAGGTACACCTTTCCGCAATATTCGAACAGAATCGATCGATCGGACTAAATCAAACGCACTCTTGCAATCAAGGAACACAGCTATTGTCGGTCTGTGGTATGCGTGACGCTGCTCTGGCACTTGCCGCAATGTGAATACATGGTCTAAACGGCCACGTTCTTGGCGGAAACAGGCCTGCACTTCCCTAATCCGAGATTCCCGTTCCACAGTGAGGTGACGAACGAGAATCGAGGCGAGTAATTTTGTCACGACTAGCGTTATACTAATACCCCTGTGGTTAGAACAGTCTGTGCGACTGCGCTCCTTGTATATTGCCACTATAATTGATTTGCTCCAATCAGCCGGGTCACTCTTCCTTCCAGATACGTTCGAATAGGGAGGTCAGTGCTTTGCAGAGGACCTCACCTCCATCCTTAACTAGTGCAGGTGGATGGGAATCCGGGCCAGCGACACGAAAACGATTGAGGGCTGTGATCGCGTTTCGGACCTCGGCCTCCGACGCAGGCTCTAAACTAACCGTCCATGGCTTGTCCTGCATCACCTGAGTAGGAAGAAGTCCGGGAGCAAGGGGAGAGCTAAACTGATCTTGAAAGTCTTCCGCCTAGCGAGCCATACGGTGCTCCTTATTGTGTATCAGTACACCTGCGCTCTCTCTGGTTGTCTCAGTGATGCCTGGTTTCCTGGGACCAGTGGTGCGCATCAGCTGGAAGAGCTTGCGGTAACTCCCTACTGCTCCTGCCTCCATTTCTTCTTCCCTACTACTTCACCAGGGTTCCTTGTCAGCACGCAAGCTTCCGTTTAGTTCGCGCCTAATAGCCCGTCTGGTCACATTGTGCTCAGAGCCAGCCTGGTGGTTTCTTCTGGATTCCAACAGATTCACCGACCTCTCGGATATCCAGTGACTGGTGCGGTGACGATTGATAGTGCCACAAGCAGATGCTCCTACGTCGTGCATAGCGGCCAAGATCCTATTCCATCGAACCTCAGTGTCAGTAGAACAAGACAGTTCGGTATGCAGTGCGTCTTGATAAGGGCTGAGACAATTTCTCAGTTGCCAATAGAGGGAGACGCTTAGTACGCCTGCCAGTAAAGTTCATGGAGAAACGACAGCGTACCAAGGCATGATCAGAGTCGACGAAGGTATTCCAGTACGAGCGGCAATCGAGGACAAAATCACGCCACCTGTAACTTATGGCTATGTGGTCAATTTACGTCCATCACTGGCCAGCGACAGGAGGACGCCAAGTGACACTTCGGCGCCCACTGTGTCTAAAAGCAGTACTACTAAGAAACAACTGGTGCTCCGCACAGTTGCAGTAGACGCACACCGTTGTCAGTCCGTTCGGAGTTAAGCCCATAATTACCACCTAGCTGAGCTTCTGAACAGCTCATACGTCCTACTTGTGCGTTCATATCCCTTGCAAGTACTGTAATATCTGAACTAATAGCACTGCGTAGTAGCGCGTTCAATTCGTGATAGAATGTCTCATTGACAGCATTAGAACTGCAGTCTTTGGGAGCTAAGCGGAAATCACAAACAAACAGCGTTTCGTACTACTTCGTGTATCAACCTTAGCTGATGTCGTCAAACGGGCTGCACATAAACGGCTGTTCACCGGAATCCAATCAACCAACGATGACTCAGCCTTGGAGCTTAGAATGATACTTACACCAGCTTGACCCGTGAGTGCTGCATCGGCGTCTCCGGATGCGTGCAACCAATAACAAGAGGATAAGCCGGGTGCAGTTAATTCAACAACCCCACTAGGGTCATTGATCCTAGTTTCGGACACACAACACACATCAATACCCAGTGTGTCCAAGGTGCGTGCGAGTGCACTCTGTTGACCTGTTTGTCTTAGAGTGCGAACCTTGAACGTCGCCACAGAAACGGGACAGCGTGGCCTTATAAGGGACTGTTGCCGATAGGCGTTCAGTGCGTATCGCGAGATGGTGGCTACAGATGGTTCTACTCCAGTGTTATTTCGGTTGCTGCCAATTAAGCTGAGAATTATAGAAGGAAGGTTAGTAATGGGGGTCGGGATGGGAGTAAGAGACGCAGGTAGGAAAGAAAGAGAGGCGCCAGCAGTAGATTGTTTTCGCTTATCCGTCCTGCTGTGTGCAGCAGATAAGGCGAGGCTTGAAAATCTGTGCGACGGCCGATGCAGGATGAAGGTTATGTTTGAAGAACAAGTCATGGTTGTATGGGAGCTGGGATACTGCCCGGGCGCTCACACCTAGACAGGAGAACGATTAGGGTCCTCAACCAGAGGCTTTGACTCAAAGCCTGTCCGCAAGGCAGCGGGGAGGTGGCAATGATTTAGTTTTTCAGAAATGGACGCCATCCCACGTTAATCCCTCAACCTGGTAGATTAAACCGCCAGGCAGTGTGGAGGCTGCTTCGAGTTCTATTTTTCTTGTCTTTTTCCCTCGAAAGATTCGGCTTTTTTGATGACCGTTTCCAAGTCATTTGGATCGTCTTCTTTTTCCTTGTACATTATCTCTAAGGCGGCGTGCATTCTCTTTGATTGCGTATCGAAACTTTACCAAGGAATACACTTTTGACTGCTTATTCAAATATATCAGCATGTAGCAATCGAGCCATCTTCTTCTTTGCATTCTTCACTAAATCTCTATGTTTCGTTCTTCCATGTTCAACGAGTGAGCATTTGCACAATTAGTTGAACTCCGCTCAGCAAATGCACGCCGTTCGTCGGGTTCACTTTGGTTTTGTCTATCACTAGGTCGAGATATTCGGTCTTTCAGAAGGATGCGTTCTCTTGGCGAGGGCAATTCATCGAAAATTATAGCACATTTGACACATCGATCGTCTCGAAATAGGTGTTTTGTACATTTTTGTGAATAACGACGTTTGCGCGAGTGAATTTCCTCCTCCTTATTTAAACAAATGTGCGAATTCAGTGAATCATACACGTACTTCAGGTAATCAGCGCCAAGTGTTTGAATCCGTCGGGTTCATCTCCCATTGGCCATCCGACTTGTCCCTTAGATTCACCTATACGCTCTGATAGCTCACTCCTGTCATAGCTTATTAGGGCATTACTTCTTATTTGCACCTCTGCTAGGCGTACTGATTAGTGCCCCACGCGTAACCCTTTGACTGAACCCACTGTGCTCTCTAGCCTAATTGTTCTCGACGAACCGAGGAGTCCTTAAGGGGGGGGGTATCCGGATGAAACAGACTACAGCACACTATAACAATTTGGTATCGACTCTTCTGTATGTTACCACCGATTCTACTTATTTGTATAAAGTGGTATTTTTCCTAGCTGCCCTATACATTCATCACACACTACCATGCTAATCTTCCGGTTCGAGGTTTTATACTTCCTTCCACACATGAATTTTCCGCGCCGCGTTTGGTCTTCAGACTACCGTATGTACCCGTCAAACCGGTCACCCGGTCACGTATCTGCCTGCGTTGTTTCACTAGTTCCACAAAACTCCGGTATTCGTCATCAGCTGCATCCTTTATATAAAACATGAAACACAACTCTTATTGTCTTAGATGACGGAATGTAGTATGTCATCAGCTCTCCGTTAAAAGAACAAGCATGCGGCACTAGTTATGTCTTACATGTTGTGGTGGTCCAAAGGCAGTACTACTGCGCTATGTGTCACTAGAATAGATTTGCCAAGGGAGCCAACCAGTAAGGGAGGAGCTAACAGCGGACCATACCAACACTTAAAAACCGCATTTATATGTGCACTGGGAATAGACACAGGCAGCACGCAGCCTCCAGAGAAGAGTTCGCAGGTGGATGAAACGGTTGGTAATCAGAGCTGATGCATATAACTGGCGATGTTTAACACACTAAATAACCCCGCTTGCACCTCGGGCTCTTGCAGTATGCTTCCGTCTCCACGGAGCACACGGTGTGTAAACCGTATATATCAATCCATGGCACACAAGCAATTCTTCAGATTAAATTACCGCGCATGTTCATCATCTCGTTTCTCTTTCTCGGCCGCTATACGGGAACCTCTTTGATCAGCATATCCCGAGGCCAACAATACTTATTGTTGGCCTCAAGTGTGAATTCTGTCTCCACTACTTGCAGCATGTTAACACGCTTGGTCGTAAGCTGCAATAACTTGCTTCTTTTCACAGACCGGTCATGTAAATCATTTCCTCAACCCGCGCCGACATTAGTTACCACTAGCAAGTGTAGCATACTTTTGTATGTTTGGTGTTGTTTTCTGATAAACAACTTTTGCTTACTCTTTTTAGGCCATTATTGTAGAGGAATCACCCATTAAGCCGGCCACATCTATGGGAAGCCCTCTGCGTCGCTTGCGGCGCGCAAATTCGATGCTTGCGAACCTACTTTATGTGGAGGCCAGGGAATCGGCAGGTACCTTGAGTCAAAGTTCCAGTCTACCCAGGGACACCGAAGATGCCTTAGCTGCTCCGTCGGATCAGCCCGGTTCGGATGGAAGCGGATGTCTCTCCGTTACAATGTCCCGCGCCGAACGGTGGCGTCGACAGCGACTTGAGGAAGAATGCAGTCTCAGCCAGTTCACCTTCTCATCACCAACGAAGCCCGCTGAAGAGTCCGTCGAGCGTAAACCATCTGGAATTGTGGAGTTGTCGAGATTGACACCGAAATCCGGATTGTTGTGTATTCCTACTAGCCTGGGGAGAGAAAACTCCAATCTGTTCGCCAACATGGCATCGCCCGAATCGCAGGGTTCTGGATTTTTGACGCAATCTCCCATGGCCAGTCCCATGAAAACCCCTCGAAAAAGTAAGATTATCGCTGGCATTACTCGTTCCCTAAGAATTTCGCTTCCGCATGTTTCTATGCGTCTTATTTGACTCTCCGTTATTTCAGCTCTTGCAGCATTTGTTTATGTTTCTTCTTGTCTTTGCTTTATTTTCTTTTTAATCAAATGGCTCCTACCAGATTGGTCAATGGTTAGAGGCCAGACAAACTCAGCCTCCTGGTCCTCTAGGTTGGGGGTTGGAATGAAGTGGCTCCTTATTACTTAAAACGGACTCCTTGTAGTCCAACGCCAAACCCGCTGCCTTGCAAACAGGTTTTTGAACCAAAGGCTTTGCTTAAGAACCCCAATCGTTCTCCTGTCTATGCCTAGGCAACCTGACAATATCCTGCCCAGCAATACAATGAATTTGTCTTCAAGCAAATTTCTGATGTTCTAACCACCACAGAGAATAATCAACCGTGCCCTATCTGCTGCATCGAGCAGGGTGGATAGGAGTTTAGATGCTACTGCTCAAGCCTTCCCATCCTCTTATTCCCCCCTCTTACGCTTTTTCTCTCTTACCGTTCCGTTCCAGCTTCACTTTTCTCCCCCTGTTTTCAATCCCCCTAATTCTTGGCCCTACCTCACTCTGCTTTGCTAGGCTTTTACCTTCGAGTTTCAACTCACATGTGAATGCGGCGCGTCATTCTTGTCCCGTCGGCAAGCCCATATCCAACCAAGCGGCCAAGCCTACTTCATCGACTTCCATTTGGAGCCCTCGATCCTCCTTCAGATTGGCATGCCTCAATGTTCGCACATTACTACAGATCGGTCAACAGGCAGCACTTTCCCGAACATTAGAGACCCTCTCGATCGATATCTGCTGCTTATCGGAGACCCGCTTGCAAGACTCGAGCACTGTGCTCACTCTGCGATCCCCTTCAGGTGACGCAAGCAGTGTTTTCTCATTGCGCTTATCCGGTGACGATGCAGCTTCGAGCACCGGCCAAGCTGGTGTTGACATTGCTCTGAGTTCCCGGGCTGAAACTGCTCTGGTTGATTGGATTCCAATCAGTAGCCGGATGTGTGCGGTCCGATTCGCTGGCTCGTGCAAAGCTTCTAAGTCGCGTGTGACTAACAAATGTCTATTCGTTATCGCTGCCTATGCACCCACAAACTGTCGCGATGACTCGGTAAAAGACGACTTCTATCGGCAATTTAACGAGCTCCTTCGCCACAGAAGAAACTCAGACATTGTTGTACTGGCTGGGGATCTGAACGCTCAAATTGGAAAATTATCCACTGATGAACCGCATCTGGGCGGAAAACAAGATGTAGGCTCCCGTAATGGTAATGGTTATTTTCATTTATGTGAGGATGCTCGCTTATTTCTTGCGGGCACTAATTTCCGACACAGCACTCGCCGGAGGGTGACTTGGCGCCCACCAGGCTCGAATCAGCTATGGACGCAAATCGATCACATTGCGATAAGTTACCGCTGGAGAGGCTGCGTCCAAAACTATCGCTCGATTTGGAGCACAGGTGTGGACACCGACCATGCACTTGTATGTGCTGACCTGTGGATGCGCTTTGGCGGACGTCCACGTCGATGGTGTGAACGCATTGACACCAGCCAACTGGCGAAGCCAGCTGTTCTGAATGCCTATCAAAGTACTCTGTCATGCGAGTTGAGTAAGCGCCCATTGGATGCAGCTGAAGCTCACTGGTCGCATGTTCACCAGACCTTACTAGCAGCAGGAAAATCCTCATGTGGTATGTCTAATCGCCAACATGGACATTGGGTCTCTTCGCAGTCTCTGGAACTTATCGATGCTCGCCGGCATACTCCGGCTGGAAGCGAAAACAATGAAACTCGCAAAGAGCTCCGGGCAGAACTCCGTGCTAGCCTGATGAGAGACCGCGAATCCTGGTGGTGTCATCGTGCATCAGAGATGGAAATGGCCGCTGCCCTTGGTAACCATCGTAAGTTATTCCGGCTGATACGGGAAACGGGCAGCAGAAGACCTGGTGTTAGTGAAACTATACGTGACGAGAGTGGACAGTCTATCCACAACTTGTGAAAACGCTTGGAGCGTTGGGCTGAGCACTTTGAAAGGCAATTTAATCGGTCGGGATTGTTAGATTTCTTGCCGGCCACTGATCGCCCTGCTCCCTAAGCTGTCCCTTTGGATCCGCCCTCTTGCTCAGAAGTCGAACGTGGGATCGAACTGTTGAAGTTAGATAAAACCGCAGGACCAGATGATGTTCCTCCAACCCTCTTCAAATCCGGGGGACCTGCTCTTGTGGATGATTTATACGAGTTACTAGTCAAACTGTGGGAGCAGGAAACTGTCCCAATCGACTGGAGCCGCTCCGTCATAGTCCCAATTTTCAAGGGAGGCTCACGATCTGAATGCGGCAATCATAGAGGAATCCGTCTGATCTCCATCGCCTCCAAATTGCTTGCCTCTGTCATCCTTCACAGACTGACAACCCCTCGTGAAGAGCAAGCCGGGTTTCGTCGAGGTCGTGGCTGCATTGACCACACCTTCACTTTGCGTCAGTTGTTGGAGCACCGGCACACATATTGGCGGCCCACCGTTGCCGTGTTCCTCGCTATCAAAGGTGCATTCGGTTCGGTGGATAGACTTGCACTTTGGGACTGTCTACTCAGGAAAGGTGTACCTGAGAAACATGTAAATATTATCCGGGCATTATATGCGCGTAGCTCGGGCAGAGTGAGGGCTTACGGCAATCTGTCGTCTCCCTTTAATATCTCCAGCGGTGTGAGACAAGGATGCCCGCTGTCACCTTTCCTCTTCAACTTCGCTGTTGACGAAGTCGTGGAAATTGCATTTACAGGACACGAGTTAGAAGGTGTGGAGCTACTCCCAGGAGAACGACTTCTTGACTTAGTGTATGCTGATGATATTGCCCTAATCTGTGACAGCTCACAAACGTGCCAAGCGGCACTGGACAGATTAGCACTAGCTGTCCGTCACTTCCGGCTTTGCTTTGCACCCTCGAAGTGCAAAGCGTTCCTCCATGATTGGTCTGGACCGCCTCCTACGCTGACCGTTGGTGGGGATCAGCTAGAAGTCGTTCAAAAATTCAACTACCTAAGAAGTTGTATCAGCGCCCGTGGGATTGAAGATGAGATCACAAACCGTATAGCAAAGGCTCGGGGAGCTTTTGCTAACCTTCGCCACTTATGGCGCCGCGCAACATCACTCTTGCCCTGAAGGGTAGAGTGTACAATGCAGCAGTACGTTCGACCCTACTGTATGGTTGTGAAACCTGGCCCCTTAAAGCAGCGGACCTGAAGAGGCTAGTTACGTTCGACCACTGGTGCCTTCGTAATTTAGCTCACATCTGTTGGGAACACCGCGTGAACAACGAGCGTGTTCGGCGCCTTATTTGCGGCACAGGAAAAGGAACAGAACTGCTCAGCACCGTTATTTCACGCACCAGGCTCCAATGGCTCGGCCACGTGTTGCGCATGCCAGCCCACCGACTCGGGCGACGTGTGTTGTTTGCTCGCCGGGCGTGTGGATGGAAGGAGAGATGACCAAGCGATGACTTGGTCGAGAGGAATGAAGGCCCTCACTTCGGAGCTGGCCTCGGTTGGAGCATGTCGGCTCCCTGGTTGGGGTCCGAAAGACGATGAACATGTTTGGCTGGATACACTTGTTGATATGGCTAGGAGCCGACCTCAGTGGCGTTCGTGCTGTGAGTTTCTTTGTCCCACCCATCCATCTTAGCCTCCCCCTCCAACCACGATCCCATTATTTGATATCTTATAATTTTGCACAGGAAATTTCTTTTTTTTCCTGCAAAGTAACCTGTAGATAGCTTGCCGGAACGATGCCCATCGGTTACCGGGAGCTCAGCTGGCTTGCACCTGTACCATTTTATTCCCTTCTTTTCTTTTAGGTATTGCAGCACAGTAGCTGAAGCGTTTCCCACCTCTAGCTAACGTGTATAGTGTGTGCGTGTGCGACTCTTGTCGTTCCAGTTCGGCGATCGCTAAGTGCTAGGTCCTCTCCGATCAAACGTGGCTTACCTTAAGACGTAGGATTCTGATGAACTATTTCAGAGTACTGCCATACGGTCTTGTGGCTTTTTATCTAACAGGCGCATTCTAATCCCAGAATTTTTACAAGCACTCACTTTCGGATCGGGCCTTTCGTTGCTACAACAGAACAGATCACTCTTCGGGAAAATGTTTGCAAGTTATGGACGCTCATCCGTTACTCCCTGGCAGTCACTCGCCTGCTCATCCGGAGAAGAGGTGGTTATGACGAATCGTATATACTTTGCATCAAAAAATCCACCCACTCGTAATTTATTGAAAAATTCGCGCACTATCTTTATATATATTATATCGTACGTAGCTGCTGCACGAGAAGCAATAACTCCGGGGGCCAACTCTGTTCTCTGCAAAGTTCTTAACTTGCACTTTGTGTCGATGCATTACTGCCATGCGATCATTACCATTAACTTGCGCGTTGGGTATACGGCAATCTCGTCTGTACCTACGTGCACGTGAGCCGGTGACGGCAGATTTGTATGGCGAACATCATATACTTTCGGCCACCTGCGAATTGCGTGCCAGTGGAGGATGAGCTGCGCAATTAGCCCGTAGGTCATGACGGTTTGCCACTGTTACCCTGTGCTAACTCGCGTCGGGATGTCAAGAGTTCCGTTCTTGGTTGGACCGTCACTGCGCACCGCTAGTGAGCCCCTATTAGTTTGAATGGTCTTCCGGTGCTTTTCCTGCATGTATATGAGACTGTATGGCTGCGGTAAATCGCCTATAATATTCATCGAAAAATCCCTACTCATAAGTAACACTTCGTGAGCTGTAAACCAAATCCGATTGACATGGGGTATGGACTCCAACAGTTGTCTCTGACGATAAATGAGCATGCCCATTGTTTCCGAGCTTGTAATCTCAAGTCAGCAGTACGCAGTTTTTCGGAATGCCATACGGTCAACTTTGTTAGGAGTACTTCTTCCTATGTGTCTCGGACTCTGTCACTTTGGATATATTTTTTGTCGTTCGCCCCAGCACTGCACTTCATTATTGTTTGTGACCTCTTCAAGTAGATAATGTCAGATCGCGTGGTCGACGGCTATCGATCTTTTCGGGTGCTGTTTAACGCATTGTGATACGCAATGCGAATTTACAGCACGATTCACTTTGAAGCTTACCCTGATCACAACGATCACTGGGACCGCATCCGAAATGGAGAGTTACGGAGTTGTTCCCTCTCAATGCCCGCGATCCACAACAGAGTTTCGTCCTTTTGAACGTTTCTAGTATAGATAGCCTGAGCTGAGAGTGACATCATGAACTTCGTAGTTGTTGGCTAACGCTCGGTCACTATCTGACTTGGTGTCTACTGCGAGGAACTCTCGATTAAAACTACAGCAGTCGATGGAAATCTAGGCAGTACCTATGTGGTGGCGAAGCAGCACATACTAAAGCAAGGGATTAGTTAAGTTGAATCTGTAATCCAGTCGAAATGAAGAAGCACAACGTATGCACTATCAAAATCATTACTGGATTTGACTTTCACCAGCTCCTGCTACGTAACTGTCATCACTCCTGCACTGATGGTGTCACCTCGAATGGTTATGAAACGTCTGCAATCAACTTTCTCACCTCGGTGCATACCACAACAATCTTGTCAGCTGACCCGCGCGCTCGGCAGGGATTGGTTTACTTATGTCAATATTGTATTCCTCATCAGCACGTCACGCAGGCCATCGAGGGTGCGGGCTGCCTTCCCCACATGCACCTTGACGTTTGTGTAAACAAATACCCGTAGAATGTGACCAACTCAGAGTACGCCGGACCTCCATACTCTTCGTGAACATGATATGTAACCAGACGTCATCTAATATAATCACATTCTCTTTAGTTCATACCTCCTAAGCTTCATATAACTGCCGGCTGATTTCCCCTAACCAGGTCTCACACTAACGCGTCTCCGACTCCGTCCAACTACGTATTTTCCAAGTGACCCTTCCTGCGAGCATTTGGTCGCGGGACGGGTCATGCTTAGTGTGAAGTGTACAGTTATCCTCTTCGTTTTCAGAGCCACTCGTATTGATTTCAATTGATTCCTAATCCATACGATTTGTGTCGCGTCCGACTTGTTATAGCGTTCTTCACTTGAATTTCTGGTGGGTTTCACGGATAGGCCACTTGATGTTTGTACTTTAAACCATGGGGGTTGTCGCTCGAATTAGTTGTTTGTGGGTAAGCATTTCTTCCAAAACCAACTCAGGGAACATTGCAGCATATTTGGCGCGCAGAACTCTTCGGTATGTGTTATCCGTGCCCTTCCATAAACAACGACCTTTATGGGCCGATGAGTATCTCTTTTGGCTTAGTTAACCAAATATCGGCCAATCAGCGTCCATTGCTCGAATCCATCATCTGCACCCTCCATTGGCCGTCTAGCTAGCTCTTTTGACCCATCTGTTCACTCTGGTTGGACACTTACCACAGGAGTGCGCAAGCACTATAGTTAAATCAAACTGCTATCATTCTAGTGTTTTACTTCATCTGACTTTCATGCTTTCTACTTCACTCTACTCATCGCTCCTCATTACCAATGAACACGTCGATCGTGCCCGGCGTGTTGCAGACCGCGTCTCGCCGTCACAGTTGGACTACACCCAACACGTGTTCTTGGGTGCTCGCCACTTAGTGTGGTTTATCGATTTGGGTGCGCATGAAGTGTCCTGTTGCCAAGGCACCTGTTCATTCGATACCACTGCACTTTTTGTCAAATACGAGCGACTTCTTATCCTTGCTAGTTCCACTATCTAACGGACTTACGCCGCATTCATATATAGAGCTCGTATGCTTAACCTGTGTGGGCACTGAATGCTTACAAAATTCTCACGTGTTTTTTGTGCAGGTGCATTTTACCTCTGTACGCGTTCCCAGAGCTGTGGGTTACTGTCACATAGACTGATTTATCCATACGTGGTGATGACGTTATGTATGATAAAGTCGCGTGAACCGATTCATTTACCTCGCGGCTTCCATTCGCGTGTGTATCCCCCATCTTTCCACTGGGTATTAGATGTGTGTATGGAACCAGGGGTGGTCAACTCAAGACAGTCCTCCTCCCCGTACACGCTGCTATTCTGTGGTTGCTTGCAGTCACATGCTTCGATTGCGTATCGACTCGGTGAGCTACTATTACGTTTTCATTCATCTCCGTTAACCCCGCCCACCTGCGACTTCTTCCCAGACCAGAATTATGCTCTCCAGCGATTGGCGTTTTTATGCTCACGAATACCTTTTGTAGCGTAAGCTGTAATCTGACTCCTGACAACATTATACTACCGGCCCTCGTCATCGTGACATTTTGCGCTCTTTCAGCTCCGTCCGATCGAAACATCTGCGCTCCCCTTAAAGGGATGCTCAATGAATGGCATGCGGTCTCTATTCCTTCAGATTTGTAGAGGAAATGGCATTACTATATGACGGCTAGACCTGTCTGAAAGTCGGTCGGTGATCGACAAGAGTGAGCCAATGTCTTATACTTCGAAGGTCACCGGCTCTATTCCACGGGGATACGGGTGACTTGGCGGTATACTTAGCCCACGCGCGACCGGTGGTAGTCGCGTGACAGCGAAGCGTCGGTACGATGTTCTGCTGATGTCTCTGCCTTGCCAGTCTAGGGCTACATGGTAAACTGGTCTTAATAAACAACCTTGACACTGCAATCTCACTCCTCACATAGGTGGACCGCGTCGTGATGAGCGATGATTGCATACAAGTGCTTTTCCTACTTCTTATGGGCCCTTTTACTCCTTGTGAAATATTTTCTACCGCACTCGGTGACTATGAATGCGGCAACGGTATTTCGTAATCAACTCGATCTGAGCATGACGTTGTTCTTATGAGAAAGATGGCCTAAAGAACTGTTTCTAGAGAGCCAAGGTTGTAAATAATGGGCGAAGTAGAAGAAGGCAGCACACTCAATGCATGCAACCCTGCGTAGTTGCAATATTCTCGGTGCTCACCAGTAATTCCATTTTTTGAGTAAGACATTATCAACAACACACAAAAACAATCATTCAGTGGTATATTACCCATAGAAGAACATGCTACAACCTGAGCAAATATGAGCCGTGTCGGGTATGCAGGCTGTTTCTCGTTTGGTGAGAGATATACCTATTATTATGTATATCGGTCGATGGCAGAACAGATTGCACTCCTGGCTTGCAACTCTTAGATCACCGGTTTGTACCCGATTAGGGGCGGGCGTTCTCGCGATATACAGCCCACGCGCGACCGGTGGTGGTCTCATGGCAACGAAGCGTCAGTAAAATGTGCCGGCGTACTGCTGATGACACGTTTTTTGTAAACTCTGCTATTATTATTGTTATTTTTCTACCTGACTTCAGCAGCTTTACCGTTGCTTCGTTTTGAAGCAATCTCTCGGATCATCCCTTTTATCGCGTTCATCTTGATTCCGCTCCATTTGGAGCTGACTTTATAACGGCACTTCCAGTCCAACCTTACATTGTTCACGATTTCTTTCCTCTAGATATATTCCACTTTATTCTAAGTCCTCCGCCCACTGTATCTCCGTTGTCTCCTCGGCGGACCGCAGTGGCTGGAACCGCCTGTACTCCTCTGCTTTCCGGTGTGTATACCTCGCAGTCCTCTCCCCAAGTGGGTCACAAACCATCGGACAGGAAACCACGAACTCCACGGACTACTCCCAGACGCCGTCTGACAGTGGTCGGTCGTTGTCGCGCACGGCATTCATCCGGCGGCGGCCTCCCTCGAGCTATTCCATCCTTCCCACAAATCTTCGATGAAGACGCTATGTTTTTGGGCCGAGAAGAATTCCTAAACCAAACCAACACAAGTACTACCCCAGGTGTCGAAAGCCCCCTGCGGACACCCAGCGACACTTCAGACCACAGTATCACCACTGAACTTTCTACCACAAACAGGCAGTACGTTCCCGCTACATCCGCTCCCATCTCGCGTCTTCCTTTGGCCATCCGTAATGGTTTATAGGCTATTGTCTTTTATGAGCTATAGTTCCGGCTTTGTTGCCGCGTGCTTTTTACTGTCCCTTGGAACCCCTTCCAACCATCCTCGTTCTTATTTCACCGAGCTGCAAGGTGGTTGCTTTCAGCGACACTGTCGCCCCCATTCACTTATTTATGGTTCATAACTACTTCATTTATATATGAGTAGAGGGGTTTGGAAAGATTTATTTGGTTCACCGCAATTAGATCACACGCCACAAAAGTCAACCGCCAATCCGGAAATCGCCAGACGATCGTTTCACACCATTATGGCTCGTCAGTGATGCATATTCATAGGTATTCAAAAACGTAGCCCCATCAGTCTTCAAAATGCTATGTGGATTCACAGCTACTGGTAGGGAAGTTCTGACGCCTGAGGACCAACCACTGTCCTCTGTATATGGGCAGTAACCTGCATGGCAGGGGAGGATTGGTCCGACTATATCGCAATTAGGCTCCACGCTTCGGTGTTCAACCATCGTCCCACATGCCTCAGTGACATAAGCTGCTGGCTAGTGGTGCTAGCCACTAGTGGTCATGGGTTCGGTTCCGTGAAATAGAAGGATGGAATGCGCACCACTGACGAGCCCTAGTAGGGCGAAACGATCTTTGTGTGCCTGTCTGGATTGGTAGTTTCTCTATCTACCTTGTAATTGCGATAAACTAACTAAATCTTCATTATTTTGACTGACGACCACTTTTTATCCACCCCTCCTGTTTTACTCTTTTTAATATTATTATTCTGTCGACGTGTGTGAATACCTGCGGTTCCGCGACCTCCGTGCACAGATTATTGTTGATTAACTGGGAACGATCAACTGCATGTCATCGACCGGTGTCGGATTCGATTATGTGTCTGCTTTGTAATTCACAGGTTCAACCGTGCGCAGGCGCAGACCACCTCACACGCGACGGGTGATGGTTGCGTGGCGTCAGTACGACGTACCGGCGTACTACTGACGCCTTGTCCACTCTTTCGAACGAAATTGAGTAGCGAATGAGTTCGACGCCAACTGACCACCCAATGGCTGGACACAGGAAATGTACCACCTTTGGTGAATATTGCTTAACCCCGTCTACGCTGTACACTAGCATCTTATGTGGTGTCTCTGTCATTGGAACGCATAGCGGGTGCCTCTCTCTGGCCACTGATCTACCTCGATCAGTCTTGTTTCATCCAGCCCTAGCGCATTTCACGGGCACTCAGAGTTGGGAAAATGCGGTTAGGTTATGAAAACATGATTATCCTCCTACACATCCACGTTACTATGGGTCATAACATGTTTCGCTTTTTGAGACGTGGCGTCGCTTGTGCACTGAGCCTTCCCCCGCTGAAGTACGTAGTAACAACTCACTTCTGACTGGAAAGGCGAGCTTCAGATCAAAGTCATTCGGTGTAAATTATCTTTCAGTTATGGCCGAGGTCCTCGTGACCCCCATGCGATTCTGGGTAAGGGTCCATGGGAATCTGTTTCCTGAGCTCCCAACGACAAATGGGGTTTATCTGGGTTGTCCTTTATCATCTTTACTCCTCGATTTCAAGATCGATATGCTCATGTATGACTCCGTTTCCTCAGCGTCCGCTGGACTGGAAATTCTACTAGGTAACCGACTAATAAACCTTCAGTATACTGACGACCAATCTTCTAGGATCGGACTTGGCGGTTATGCGAACGCTGCCGAATCGGACGATGCATAGTGCTGCACGCTTCGGCATATCCTTTGCACCTTCAGGACCGAGTCGGCACTACTAGTTCTTGCTATTCTCGTACAGCTATTGAGAATAGTCGATCGTTTCACTTACTTGATAGTTATTTCGACTTTGTTGGTCGCGTTACTGAGGAGATTACTTCGCGTATCAGCGAAATCCATGTGGGTTTTCGGATCCTTAATCATCTATGGAGACGACTTGATATCAGCCTGCTAGTCAAGGGTGGAGTGTATAATGCTGCCGTAAATCCGGCGTTACTGTATGGACCAAAGACATGACCACCTCATACTGAAGACCCAACGAGTTTGACAATGTTCGATCACCGGTATTTGCGGAATATTGTTCACATCTGGTGGGATTACCATTTTGTGTTCAGCAAGAATTCCACTGGCACTTCACTGTAGTGCCTATTAAACCTGGACAGCTTGTGTAGTTTACTCCATGTCCTCTATGTGCCCGATGACTTTTTCTCCGCGTTCATTATATTTTGTCGCGGCACTTGGGCGAAATGGTGTGGGGTAGCCAGTCAATAAGGTGGCATAAGGACCCGAAGTGTTTGATCATCAGACTTGGTCAAGCTCGTGCGGGCCGTACTCGGCGGACAGAAGCCTCGAGATGATCCACGTCAGTGATTGGAGACTCTATCGGATATGGCACAGTCCATGTCGCTCTTGCATTCGATTTCTTGCACCTGGCTGTTTTTCTCTCCGGGTCATTCTTTCCATTTTTGATTATCCCTTTCTTTTCGCTTTCTATTTACGTTTCACATTTTCCTCACCGATATTAAACGTTGTCTTGGTGGCACGATTCGTAATAACTGTGTCCACTGTCCGGATCACAATTGTTTACTTAGATTGAGCTCACTCACACAGTCATTCGTATCTTCAGGTTGTTCTGTTCTATTGCCCAGCTTACTCGGCTCAGTGCCGCCTCAACGCCAGTAGTATTTGTTTGTTGAAGGGCTATTTTTGTGCATTTATATGTTTTGATGTTGTTGAGACTCGTTCTCCATTAAAAATGTATTCTATCTCGTATAGTACCCTTGGTTCAGTTTCGGTATTTTTTCTTGTTGTGTTTTCTGTGGTGAGTTGCGCGTTTTTCAGCTATCTAAGGGTTTGCAATGTAGTCAACTCAATGAACGCGCGCATGGGTAAGTGGTCTTGTTACTTTTCAAAGCCTCCGTCACCCATGGAGACGGCATCAAGTCATAGTTTTCGTAAAGAACTGAGTGTGCCTGTTACAATTCATCAGTTGTCGCCATTTTGATCAGAGACACGAGCATGGTACATAGAAGACACCATCCTATTCGTCCCACGTTGGCTAGACGTGAGAGACTCCTCAGCTGTTGTGTCGCAGCACGATACAATAACATGGTTGTTGAAAGGAAGAAAAACGGAAAACAAAAAATATTGTCCTCTGTTTGTACTTTTCTTTTCCAATGTGATCGTTGTTGGATAGATATGGTAGGCGGGAGTGAGAGGGACAATGAAACTCACAGCACGAACGCCATTGAAGTCAGCATGTTCATCATGGCCATCATCTTACGGACTCCAACCAGGGTGTCCGGAGACAAACTGAAACCAATTTCGAAGTAAGGGCATTGATTTCCCTTGTTTATCATAGGCTGGGCTCATTTTCTTCCTCCAACCAGATCCCGGTCGCCCAAACAACGCACTTAGCGGGAATCTGTGTGCTGGTATACGTAACAAATATCCCGTCCATCGGAGCGTAGTATGTGAAATGGCGGTTCTGAGCGCTTCACTTGCCTTTCCTGCGCTCTAACAAGGACACTAAACACACTCCTTGTTCACACGGTGTTTTCACCATATATGATCTAGATTGCGAAGGCACGGGTGGTCGAACGTAACTGTCCTCTTTACGTTCGACTATTTTTTAGTCTATGTCTCTCAACAGGACTGAAGGGATCACTGCATTGTAGTGACGAGGATTACTAATCCCACTCCGAACTTTTTCTGTACGGTTTGGGATTTTTAATTTTCTATTTCACATGCCATGTTAAAGCTGCCCGGGTAATTAAGTTTCTGGAATACTTCCAATGGGTTTCCATGAAGGGCCAGCTCAGGGATTGCTTTCTGTTATTTCCCTGTGGAAACTTTTACATTTTGAGGACGCAGAACAGAATCCAGAACAATTGATAGTCATTGCTAATCTGTCCAGTGCTACGTTGCACCCACGTGAGCTGTGACAGATATCGTCGATGTACTCAAATATGAAAAGTGGATCTTCTGGAAGCTGTCTCACACTGTACAAGTCGGATCCGGCGAACGCAGTCTCCATAACTTCGTCATGATATCGAACGCATTGAAGACATTAAGGGACTGCTGGTCTCCGGTGCCTGTGGGTTATTGCTCACATATAAATGAGTATATTTCTAGATTATCCAACCGACTCTATACATCATTCTTCGGACCCCATATATATATATATATATATATATTGCAACAGTCTATGAATAGACATTGCACCCTCGGAAACCGTGGAACACAAAACAAGGTACAGAAATAGTAAAAGAAAACACAACACAACACAACAATGTCCACGGTTTCGTCAGAGGACGAAATACTACCCGGTTGCCCAAGCCGAAGTAGGGTGTTGACTTAGGGGACACCACCCCGAGCCTTTGGCTGAATAGCCTGTCCGCAAGGCAGCGGAGCGAATTCAGGGAATCGCGCCCATTGGGAGCCGGTGACTGATTGATCAGTTCATACGCCTTTCGTTTGTTCCTTTGCCAAACAGGGGCCCAATGCTCCCCGAAATTACAGCATCAACTTGCTGGAATACAATGCTTCGCCAGGATGAAGCAAGGGGCAGTGACTTTATTTAGTGGCGAGTCCCGTCCGCCACGTCACAGTGTTGTTAAACGGACATATGTGGCTTTTTATAGGGAGAACGCTTGCCAGGCGAAAACCCACCACGTCCTGGAACACTGCCGCCGAACCATTTGCTGGAATGGGAAAATCCCGAACCACCCAGCTGGCACCACAAGGAGGTTGTTCGGCAAGCCCGGCAGTCGGGAACCACCACCTGACACAAAGTTCGAAGTTATTGTTTCCATTCGGTGATCGAGTCATCGCTAGTTCCCTCTTCTCCCATCCATACCCCGGTGCGCAAACAACACGCGTCGCGAGAGTTCACGTGCTTGCATGCGCAGCACGTTGCCCAATCATCAGGGCCTGGTACTTGAAATAACTCTGCTGCGCGGTTCACTCACTTGTCCTTCGCCAACTACGAGACGTCGAACACGCTCATTGTTCACGCGGTGTTCCCACCAGACATGAGCTATGTTTTGAAGGCAGTGATGATCAAACGTAACTAGTCTCTTTATGTCTATAGACTTGATGGGCCAGGTTTCGCAACCGTGTCGGAGGGCTAAACGGACTGCTGCATTGTCAATTCTGCCCATCAGGATGAGAATCATATCGCGCCAACGCCACAGGTGGTGGAGATCGGCGAAAGTGCCTCGAGATTTTGCTATGCGGTTCGTGGTCTCATCTTCCATTCCACTGATGCTGCCTAGATACTTCAATTTTTCGACGACTTCTAGCTGATTCCAGCCAGGAGTCAGCGCAGTGGTGTGTCCCCGCCAGTCTTGGAGAAGGGTGGTGCCAATCATAGTCCAAAACGACTGACAGGCTATGCTAATTTTTCCAGTGCTACTTGGAACCTTTGGTAGGAACACAGATGAGGTCAATGTCGTTGGCCTACTCCAAGTCAAAAGTCGTTCACTTGGAAGCCATTCACCATGAAAAAAATTAAGTAAATATTTTGCCGGCCCGTAGCCTTAAGGATCACAAACCCGTGGGCTCAAGTTCGTGCCTGTGTAGAGATCGGGCGACTCGCAGTACCCTTAGCCCACACACAACTGGTGGTGGTCGCGCAACAGCCAAGCCTCGGCACTGCGTACCGGCGTACTACTTATGCCTTCTTCTCTAACAATAGTAGACACTTCTTGTCAGGAAGAGTAAAATTTTCCAGGAAAATCCATTAATTCAGTAGGAAAACAAGTTGAGTCAATAGTTTATAACCCATACATCAAGTGGTTTTAGGAACCTTCGCGTTTATACGATGTGCGCCCCCACCTTCCCATTGGCTAGCGGAACTGATCTACCAACCAAAACCTATCTGTTCTGATACTTGAACCTTCCTTGATTGATTTTAAATGTCCTTCGATTTCACACTACTTGTTTTCCTTTTCGGTAGCTGGTTCTGCAGCACGCTTTTCTCCCTAAACCTTATCTTCTAATTTCCGGCTGTTATTCGGAGCTAGCAAAGAACGAGTTGTTAGACCGGAATCGCATATCACGAGGCAGATCATATGATTTCCCATTACGAGCGGGATAGGTTGAGCCACCTTGTAAAAGGAGAGTTGTACTGTTTGAGAAAACTCGCTAACATATTATACTATAATGTGGGATTTTTCAGTCGTCGAAGCTAGTTGGTTAAGCTGGAGGTAATAACACCGTTCTTCATAGGCAAGCGTTGATGAGCGTCCCATGATCGTCTTTGTAAATGAGCAGCGTACATTTTCAAAAGTTAGAATGGGGATACCCGTACCAGTGATGGATCCTACTGATATACAATGTCTGTGGTAGTGTATCCGGGGTTTATCTGTCGAAAACCTCATAGACCTGCTTTCACTCCACCTGTTTAGGGATGATAAAATTTCATGTTTATTTCTTATGCATAGTTCCAAGAGGTCAGGTAGACTTGACTTGAACGACACCACTAGTTGGTAGTACACCGAACAAACTACAAGGAAATCAAGTAGCTAGTGCTTCGTAGTAGATCTCGTAGTGCCGTGTTCGATTGCCTGTTAGACTTGTTCCTATCATCTTTTTGCATCACACACTTTTTGTACACCACATTACTTGCCACGTGGTGTGTTCGCAGACACTGTATCTGGTTATGTGAGACCTCAGGGCGACCAGATAGATCGGTCTTGCAACAATGTAATACGAAATGAACTGCAGAACTGAGTTGGGTTTGTGGATGGGTACTTCGACATCGCCTTTCCTTCAGTGGTTGGAGGTGGCTCAGCCGGCCATTCTATCTGACCACTTTTAGTTGATTACTTTTCCGTTTCTCTTCCTGGGGCGAACCGGTAAAATTTCATTATTAATCCTCTTATTCATTAGTAACCAAACGTTCGCACTCACAGTGTTCAAATGCTATGCCTGCATAGCTGTTGTATAGTGAAAGTCCATGATCTCTGAAGGCCAGCCACTGTCCTCTGCAATGATAGTAACCTGCATAGCAATGGGGATGTGTTGCACTATATTTCACTTAGCTTGCAACTCCTAACGGTTCCCACCGTTCCCACATCTCAGTGGCATAAGCTGCTATCGGTCATGGGTTCAGTTCCTTGAAGGGGACCGAGAGAATGCGGGCCACTGACGAGTCGCACTAAGGCGAAACAATCGTTTGGGGCTTTTCCAGATTGGTGATTAACCTATCTGGCCTGTGAGCCGCTGGCATAAATTGGTGCAACTTTGTCAATAGTCCACTTACTCCTTACTTTTCTACTACTGTTAGCTTTTACTGTCATAGCAGCATAAACCTTGCCATTTTAATCCGGCACTGCATAGACTAAACGAGGTAGTCTGGAATGAATGAGAGCACCTTGGAGCCTCTGAAGTCTATTTGTTTTACAACACTTCTACATTTATCCGGACGTACTGTAGCACTTCGACTGCATTCCGACGTTTGCTAAGGGGTACATACCACTGTCTGATTGATGTTTATGGTGAGCCGGAATCGTGTTCCAGATGAGGTTGGTTGTGAATTGATTGCTATAATGTTCATCAGAGTGTGTCATTTTCTGCATTATCTTCTGCGTTTACTGTCTCCTATGCAGCAAGCGGCATTGTGCGTTCCCGTCTGCTTCTCCTACGGATGCACCAGTGATGCGTCTATCAAAGGCGGCTCCCGATAATCTTGGGCCGTCGAGCAAACGTTTGACTCGACGACAATCACACAAACCAACAAACCCCATTCCCACCACACTTGACAACGAAGTTCCCGAATTCCTGTTGAAGAGACCTCGTCGTTCACCCTTCGCTCCTTTGCATGTGTTCAACAGAGCATCTACTACTACCACTGTCAGTGAGCGGGACAAGGGTTTTCCTACAAGGTACGTTTTTTGTATGCGTTCGTTTTGGTTTTTCAAGAGTTGTTCATCCAACATTTGTGATTTCTACGGGACCGGAATAGTCGTGTTCTCGGCGAGTGCCTGCAGCTTCCAATTAGGAGAATGTGGAGTAGTTGATGAAGTGTCCCCAGCTTTAACTTGGGGAATTGGCTCACATTCATGGTCTTCACACAGCTATAACCGGCCCTGTCTCAATCGCTCCATTCGCCATGTAAGCTTATCTGTCTTTCTAAGTTGACACGTGGATGCTTTGAAACTGTTTCCCCCAGTCATCTAATGAGATACTGAGGTTGGTGACCGGTTCATCTCAAGATACCTAGCGAGATCGATGTTTTGTGGCACTTGTTTCCGCTGTCTTTTTACAATCCGGTCCATTTATATGTAACTAAGCAAATAACTAGATATATTTTCTGGTAAGCGTGATACTCTTCTGACTAGGGGGCAATCATTTTGGCATAGAAGCAGAATTAACATTTTTGCGCAACACATCACAGTAATGTTAAAACTCCTCGATGATGCTCATTTCTGAGCTGGAACATGACAAACATTTACCGAAATTTGCACACCTTGGGTTTAGGTGTAGTTTAGATCATTCGGTCACCAAAGTTCTCCCAAAAATGGCATATAAGTTCACCTACTCAAAAATTGGCTTGTAAACCACACGTCACCAGCAGATCTGCATTGTTAGACATTTCGGGGTTTACTGAACGCGGATATTGAAGACTGTATCGCTGATCTGTTGCCTTTGTATAATGAAGTAGTTACGCAAGCCATGGGTCATTGATATTTGGTTTTCGAGTGCCGCTGTGTGTTCGCACGTCTATACGCAATATCTTTTGCGTCCTCTGTCATTCTGATCACTGGGATGGTATCCGAAGTGGAGCGTTTTCCATGTTGCTCGCCAGTTACTTTCGGCCGTCACTGCTTTCGCAGTTTCGGTCATATCTAGTGGGAACACCGCCTAAGCACTGAACGCGTTCGGTGTCTCGTGTTTGGTGCAGAAAGCGCGAGTAAATCGCTTGACATTGTTATATTAGCCACTCGGCTCCGATGGTTTGACCACGTGTTGCGGATGCCAGCACACCGACTCCCGCGATTTGCGATGTTTGTGCAGCGGAGTGTGGATGGAAGAAAAGAAAGGGAGGCCAAGCGATGACTTGGTCATGAGGAATGAAAACTCTCGCTTCTAAGTTGGCGTCGGTTGGTGTCCCGACTGCCGCGCTGCGGACCCAAGGATGTTGAACACGTCTGGTTGGGTACACTAGTTGACATGGCTACGAGCGGACCTTAATGATGTTCGTGTTGTCCATTTATTCGCCCATCCCTCTCTTGTTTATCTTCCTCCTCCAGGCACGACTTCGCACTCGATGCATCATGTGAAACAAAACATTACATTACTTGTTTTGGGTTTTACTGTTATACTCTGTAATGTTTAGTATCTGACATTTTTCATACATCATTATCACTTTTGCATTGCTACCCAATAACGGGTAGTTCTCACCTTTACTTAACCTGTAATGATGATGATGTTTCGAGCACTGCACTGAGTACAGGTGCTGAATGAATATTGTGATTGTTGTCATCCACGTGTGAGCCAGAGCCAACGATTTACCGTTTTGGGGAGGGTGGAATAACCTGATAATCAGTCGAATAAGTAAACCCACATATGTTTTGCTGCTAAAGGGTAACTAATAAGGATATAACAGCAACACAACCAATCGATATACCTGGATGGCGGTATCCGGTTCCCGATTTGTCTGTCAGTGCGTCCTCCGTGGGGACAGCCACAGGACGCCTGCACATCTAGAGGGACCATGGGTGACTTGCGCCGCACCGCCCACAGCCCCATCCACACATCCCCATATCCAGTGTAAACTCGAAGGAATAAGACCGCAGGTATGTGGATGGGAGCTTTGTTTCATCAACGGAGTCGGCCTACACTCCATCAACATGCACAGTAGCAGCATTCCTGTCTGCCTGATTGTGAAATCAGGCGTACCAAATGTACACAAGGCGGTGGCCCCACACTGGATTGGGCTGGGCCACGTGTTGCGCATGCCAGCACACCGACTTTCGCGACGTGCGTTCTTTTTGCGTCGCGGTGTGGATGGAAGAAGTGGAAAGGTGACTAAGCGATGACTTTATCAAGAAATGAAGCCCTTACTTCGAAGTTGGCGTCGGTTGGAGACTCGGCTTCCTGATTTGGGTCCGAAAGGTGATGAACACCTTCGGCTCGATACACTTGCTGGCGTGCCTAGGGACGGACCCCAGTGACATTTGTGTTGTGAGTTTCTTTGTCTTTCCCCCTCCCGTTTAGCTTCCCTCTCCAACCATTATCTCATTTCCTAGCATATTGTCAGTATTACATAATATAATTTTTTGCAGCAAAATACCGGCTGGTAGCTTTCCAGATTGATGCCTATCCGTTACTGATGGCTCAGTTGGCGGGTTTCTGTTGCAAGCTTTTTCCTCTTATGTATTGTGCACAATAGCTGAGGTGTTTTCCACTAGCTAACGCGTACAGTGATAATGGTGATGATCACACCGGATGGAACCACTCTTTGAACCTAGCAAGGCCATGAGGGGCATGCACCTCGTCCCCCTGCAACGATTCGCAGTCTCTTGGAGTAAGTGATCGAGATAGAGTGGGCTAGACAAGTATGCACCTTGTTAACGTTCAACTCAAGCGCGGTCACATCGGGGTTATCAAACAGCAAACACATTACATGAAAGACAATATGTACACAAATTTGACACGGAATGTGCAGCAGAATAACAGCAGTGAGTAACTCAAATGAAGTGGGATACTTTTTGTCCAGGTTAAGAAGATCTAATTTGAGTGTAGGCCGGTGTAGCCCAACTGCAGTGAAGAAACACGATGTATGCGACATCAATCTCAGCATGTGGTACTCATCGATATGCAGGTGCCATTGATAAACACAATTGGCACACTTTTATTAAATGGTGTGTTTCGCAATCTACCACTAGAATGGGCCAAACACATCTTCCTTCACAGCTCGTCATTGAGCTTACTGGTGTTAAAGCATTCCGATACTGGAATGCTAATTAATCTGTTTAAGGAGACGCGAGTTTGTAAACTTTATAAGTGCTGATCTGGGTTACCTGTGCCAAGTAAACGTATCTGTTAGGGAAGGAACCGCTGTGAACCTTGGTAGGAATGTTCGGCAGAGTGCTCTTGTAACGCGTGGCCAAACATTCCATGCACATTGGCACTTTAACATATCACTAACTTTTGTCTTGCCACCCTCGTTTCTGCACTTCGCTGAATCTTCCTCCTTTTTGGTATTTCTTATCTTGCGTTGTGTATTACAACACAACCTCCAAATTATTCTTATCCCGGATTCCTTTGTCCACTAAGTACGTGACTGAATCGGTATTTGGTTATCTTGGTAAAAAATATACCTTTAGTCGAATAGCCCGATGTCTCTTAGCATTTCCTTGACTCCATTGTAAGTGCCGATTCCTCTGAAATTAGCCCTTGTGTTTTGCTCTATCCCAATGGCAATCTCAACTTTTGGTTTCGTGATAGGAAGCTAGCAGCAAAGACTGGATAGATGTTACTAAAGCAATCCAACTACCACAGTCACCTTCTTCAACCTTTTTCTTATGATCCCGTAGCCCTGTCTGGTTTCTCACAGTAATTACTCGATTCCAACGCGGCGTACGTTACTTACGCCTGTATCAGTGTGTTCTCTTTGCTGAGGGTTGTCAACGATCATCGCAATCTGTTGGGTCATTTGCTTGCTCTATCATCTTTTCCGTTTGCAGTGAGTTGCTGGATTGTGGTACCACTACCACCGCGAGCAGTCAGAGCGCTTCTGCCGTCGTGGCCCTACGAACCCGGTTGTTTGGCAACAGCGATTCGAGCGATGCAATTTCTACTGATTTCGACAAACAATCAACGTTAGAGAACTCACAATCCACTCGGGTAATCTACGTTGCCGGTGCGTCCAACGATAACAAGGAGAATTTCGTTGCCTCCACTTCCGGCACTCATCCGCTTGACACTCCTCCAAGCCGCATTGCTCTAGTATCTCATCGGAAACAACTGCATCACAGCGTGCATGAAGACGTGGACCTACGGAAGCCCTTGTCTACCAAAGAATGCAACTTCCGAGCATCTTCTTTGTGTTCCGGTAGCCGAACAGCCAACGCCAGACCCCGACGATCTTTGTTCCAATAGACCTACTATGACTGTACATGTCTTCTGTGATGCCTTGGCGTCTTTACACGTCTACTGTCATATCCCACCAATTCACTGCGGTGTTCTTTTTCCTTGTTTCCTCCCCGGTGCTTATCTGCTTCCTTGTTGTTTTACCGCTGCGTGCTTCGTTGCTTTTGTACATATTCGAATGATTACGATTTCAAATTTATCTGTTTAATTCCGTTCCGCGCTGAGACTCAAATGTTCTTTTCATCTTTTCGGCTAGTGTCATCACCAATTGTGCGATTCTCTGATTAACAAATTCACGAATGACTGTCCTGGCAGTTTATATGTAAATACATGAGATTGGCGACATCCGATTCCGGATTTGACTGTCACTGCATCTTCTATAAAACAGCCTCAGGACGCCTGCGCATACACAGTGTCAATTGGTGGCTTACGTTGAACAATCACAGCTCCATCCACACCCTATATCCAGTGTAAACGAAGGAATAAGCTGGGGGGCATGTGGATGATGGCCACGTTTCCTCCACGGAGCCAGCCCACGCTCATTCAACATGCACGGCAGCGGCATTTATGCCTAATTGTGAAAGCTTGTGTACCAGATGTACACACAGTTGTGGACGAACCGTAGCCCGTTCTACATTGGATGCATGTAACCAATCTTTGAGCCTAACACGGTCACGAGGACTGTGCATCACGTCTTTCCATGCAATCATTCACAGCCTCCTGGAACCTGTAATCGAGGTGGCGACACAGTAGCTGAGGTGCTCCCCACCTCTAGCTAACGTGTATGATGATGAATCGAGGTGGAGTGTGTTAGACAGCTAAGAGCTTTGTTTACATTCGTCTCAAGCGCAGCCACACCGGGGAAATCAAACAGTAAACACATTACATGAATGAAACTAAACACCTAATCTGAACAGTGTGCAGCAGAATGACAGACCATCGCAAACAAATAATGTGTAATATTTTTGATTTAGTGTAAAGGTGATCTTGGACAAGTTTACATGCGGGGACCTCAAGAACGAGTAACGAAAATGTTAAAAAAAGCATAATCGACAGGTACTATGCGAAGGATTAGTCAAAACGAGTATATAAATATTAATGGGCTTAAAAATCTAAATAACTGACTTGCTTGGTCTCGACAACGCGAGGCACGCCTGCACAAGCGTGTTCATAAGAATGGGACAACTAGTGAGCGGGGAATGTACAAAAACAACAAGTTTGCTATAACATTGAAAGCATATAGGTGTGCGGTTTGGGTTTTCAAGTGTGCCGCTGGACTTTTGACTGTGTCCGCGTCGCCACTGTGCGAAGTGATGATTGATGCTCATTGATTGGGTATGGTTACTCGGATAAGCTAGAAGCATTGACTTAAGTTGGTGACGAGTCACACCCGCTGCGTCACCATGCTGTTAAACAGACGTTTATAGTTTTTATATGAAGAACGCTTGCCAAGTGAAAATCCACTACGTCCTGGAATACTGTCACCGAACTGTTTGCTGGGTTCGGGGTAAACCCGAACCACTCAGCTGGCACCACGAAGAAGTTGTTCGGCCAGCCATCTTAATGTATTGCGAAACAGGCGTGTCTCTATCCCAACCGGTTAAAACGCATAAACGCAACATCAATCTCAGCATGATGCACATAGAGATATGGTATGTCCCAACAGATCAATTTCATTTCATTTGATCATGCCTTAAGAGGTGTGTCTCGTTTTACCGAGTATAGACCATTTATTTATTTCACTCCGATGCTAGGTGACCGAGGTTCACGTGTTAGGGTGACACGAGAGTGCATTAAGTTGACAACTGTCCAATGATAGATGTTGCTCTTCCGAAGTGTCCTTCAGCCGGTCATGGTGTGAACAACTACCTTGTTGATCGAATGCGTGGCCAGTGGGCCAGTATCCTCGGTACTGGTGTACTGACGATGGATGGCCAAACAGACCTCGACCGATGTTGTGTCCTCAGGGGTTCGACTTAGCAGCTTCTTAGATTGTGCCACGCGAGTCCAAAAGACAACGCACCGGACGAGAAGTATATTTGCGAAAACAGAACGGGCCGACGTGGGAATGAACACACACCGATTACAATTCAAATCACGGCTGTGTGCTAGTTTGAATTTATCGATCTCAAAGCATCACTGGACGTGTGAGTGGTATGAAACAAGCGATGGTAACAAATGTTCTGCAACACGGAAAATCTCTAGTCTGCTTGTAAGAGACTGTTCTGATCCAATGCACACGGTTACTTGGGGAAATTGCGCACTTACCTTTCCGAACAAGTCAATTTGTTTCGTTTCTGTGCGCATTTGACTTTGGTCTGACCTAACAACCGACATCATTTGCACACCTATTTTGAAATGCTACGCCAGATTGCCAGTCTCGTCCATCGTTACACGGTTGGATGGGAAGACAGAACAACCTTCCGGGGGTCACTGGCCGAAGCATTCGCCGCATTGATTGGTCTCGGCACCAGGTTACTTAGCTAGCCACAGCCATCGCTGTAACCGATAACAAGGAACGCCTCATGTAAGCTAAAGCGCACCGCACTGTGTCTGTGAACGAGAAGGCCACCTTGTTCACATGCAGACTAACACTCAAATACTTTGCCATAGGAAGTTCACAATGGCAGTGTTAGCGGGTGCGGTACTGCGTTACACCTTGAGCCTTGTTCAAAAAATTGTAACTGCTATGGAACATGTGTTGGCCAAATGTTGTTGGGATGCTTTGGTGACATTTTATGTGCGCGGTCAGACAGAGTGGGGTTGTTGTATACAAGCAAGTTCAAAGGTCATTCTGATAAACGAACTGCTGTAATCTGATCAATGTCTAACTGGGTGAGTACATTAAGGTGTCGCAAGGAGAAGGATGAACCAATAGGGAAGCAGAGAATTAGACGCCTTGTGTGTGTGTCTGGGGTTGTGTGCACGTGTCTGTTTAGACTAGCCGTCAAGAATGCTGACAGAATACACAACATCACCTCTCCGCTTAACCGTGTTCTGCGTCCAAACCATATCGATTCGGTCGTCTTTGCTCTCCGGTCGTCCTGCGGAGCTGCGTGGCTTGTGTGGTTTCGTCAGTGAAGGTTGGTGGCATGTGCTCCGTTCGTCTGGTACTTGTGAATAATCTCCGGGCGTTGACTGTGCGGCCATCCTCCAGCAGGTACGTGCCTGGCCCACATGCACGCGTTATTCTCATCGGATCTGATAACGTGGGCTGTCCTTTAGATTCAGCGTTTACCTTCACGCGCACGAATGTTCCGGACTGGAGCGGAGTAGTATGCTTCTGGTAAGTGGTCTGATATCGATGGCGACGATCTAACTCGTCGGAAATCGCCATGACTGGTGTGGAAACAATGCGGCGTTTTATCTCGTCAAATGCCTTTTGTTCGGGTGGACTCCAAACAAATACACTTTTCTCCTTTGTCAATTCACGCAGTGGCTCAGCAATATTCGTGAAATCCTGCGGGTAACGCAGGTTTTCAGAACACATACCTAGAAAATGCTTTATTTCAGTGAAGTTCTGTGGGCAAGGAGCCTCGGTGATGGCACGTACGTTGTCAAAACTCGGCTTCACACCGTCATTTGTTATAATGGGGCCCAGGAACTCGATCTCACTAGCATTAAATTTGCACTTCTCGAGGTTTAATCGGAGGTTAAGATCGTGTAGTCGACGTAACACAGCATGCAGTCGTGAATCATGTTCTTCTGGTGTCCTACGGAATACACAGATGTCGTCCATGTATACTTGTATCAGAGAGCTCAATTTATCCAGTCGTTTGGAACTTTCACCACATTGTTTCCCTACAACTCCTTATTATGGACAGCCCATTTCCCTTTGAATGTGCCAGAACCCCGGCTGCTTGTTTTACCTACCCCTTGAACATTGATAAACCATTCGACTTTGCTCCTCTAACCCACCGTCTATGATCGCTCAAACCCGCCTTACACATTTCGCTTTTACACCCTTCACCATTTGATGTGCTAGTTACCGATGTCCCATCGCAGACCTCGCAGGCATCCTCACCCTATCATGCGCTATACAGACACTCCGCCAATCAGCTGTTCCGAACGTGTCTATCCTCATAGCCAATCGATCTTCCAAGCTACGCTATTGGTGTATTTTGCCCTATCAGTCATTGACACATCAAGCGACTTTGCTTGGCATATGTCCATACGTGTAGGCAATCAATTGGTGTATTGGCTTGCTTCGAAGCGGTGTTGCCCAGTTACGCCTTTGCGCACTTGTTTGCCTTTTGTGCTTATCCTTGCTTGGCTTTTGGATCGGTGTTCCGTGGTATCTACTGAAGTTTCTATTGCTTTCTTGTATAAGGAAACCGTTTGAGGTTTGTCACTTTTGGTATTTGTTGTTATTATTCAATAGCACCACAGTTGCACCGGCATTGAGTTTTTGACTTATCCCGGGGATTGCGAATCCGTTCCGGTCTTGAATTTCGATAACCGGTGGCTGCGCGTATTGCTCAAGGTTTCTAAGCGTTTTATCGCTTACAGTGCTCAAACGATTTGATTTGGTGAGCCCGGTTTGACCAACACTCGGATCGTGACTACTGGATTGAATCACCGTTTGGATTCCGCTATGCCTTTGACGAGGAGATCGGCGAATATCCTGACTTCTGTTGAAGACCCGCGGCAAGTTGAACATGTTCCCATTGTTGATGATGCCTCTTCTACTTCTGGATCGCATCATAGTGTTTTAAGTAAATCCAGCAGAATTTCGCATAAGGCGTTAAGGGCTCTTAAGCTAGCGGAACTCAAGAAATTAAAGGCTGAAACTGAGATTGAGATAGCGAAACTGCAGCTAGATGGCGGGGAGGAGTTAGATGACGTTGAGCGACTCTCCCCTGCTAAATGTAAGCAGGTGAACCGATTCTTGGAGGATTGTGGAAATAGCGTGCCGATTGAGGAGATCCATAAGCCCTTTGCAAGCCAGTCACAAGTGCCTTGTCGACCATTTGTAGAACTTCCTAAGGTCGAGCTTGAAAGTTTTGATGGTAACCCGGCTACTTATTGGAAATTTGTGAAACAATTTGAGTACTTCGTCGAGGATAGAGTCAGTGACAGTGGTCAGCGTTTATTGTATTTGATTTATTATTGTAAGGGCAGGGCTAAAGAGGCTATCAGTGAGTGTGTTATGTTGCCCCCAGAACAGGCTTACGAGAGGGCTCGAAACATACTTCGTGAACTCTTCGGCCAGTCTCACATAGTAGCCCGGTCATTGATTGATAGCTTATTCTCCGGGTTAAGATTGTTACCTAACGACCAAGATGCGTTGTCTCGTTTGTCGCTAAAGATGGAGAATTGCTATGTTGCGCTGTCGCAGATGAACTTTACCGCAGATTTAAACTCTGTGACCACCATCGAGCGGCTGGTTCGTGCCCTGCCGGGCAGCTTGCAATCAAGGTGGGCAAGGGCAGCGGACGTAATCGTCCAAGAGGGTCGAGAGGTTCTCTTCAGAGATCTTGCTGACTTTGTAGCTACCGAAGCCCGAGTCGCCCGTAGCAGATTTGGGCAAATAGCCAACTCCAGCGCTTTGAGAAATCAAGGTACCGTGCGACCGTCCAGAGCGAAGGATAAAGAAATGGAGTACAATGTCGCCTTATATACTGTTGCTGATCAGTCCAGCCGAAATGTCTGTACAGTTTGTGACGATGTCCATAGGACGGAATCGTGCCCAAGGTTCCTGGCGTCCGAGGTTCCCGTTCGTTGGGAGCTCATCAGAACTAAGGGCGGATGCTATCGATGTCTCAATCTCGGTCACCGAGCTGTAGCTTGTCATGGGAGTAAAGGATGCGGGCGAGCCAATTGTAAGGGTAACCACCACACTCTGTTACACACAGATCGAAGGCCAAGACAAGCGGTAGGTGTATCTGACTCTCCGCCCAAGGACCCTGGCAGTTGCCACGCTGTCTCTGCTGATGCCGGGAAAATTGCTCTGGGAATTGTACCAGTGCGGCTAGAAGGACCCTTGCTTTCTGTTGAAACATACGCTTTACTTGACAGCGGCTCCGACGTCAGTCTGGTACAGGACGATCTACTGCGAGAGGCTGGTATTGAAATAAATCCGGTTTCGCTGAAGATGCAAACAGTGAGCGGTATTAGTTGTCTGGAATCCGGCGTCGCCAGTTTTCGTTTGCTGTCGTTGGACGGTAGTGAGTCGATTGAAGTGCGACGTGCTTATTGCTTGAACCGTTTGCCCTTGCGTCCAGTCAAGGAATCTGTTAGTCAGGTAGCAGCTCGATGGTCACAGCTATCGACCGTTGATTTCCAAGAGCTGAAGGATTCCCGCGTTAGAATACTTTTGGGAGCTGATGTTCCAGAGGCACATTGGCAGATAGAACAACGACTCGGAGGTCGTGGTCAGCCCTTCGCGGCAAGGACCCTACTTGGATGGATAATGTTGGGTCCGGTAGATGGGAGCCGCCAAGCTCACGTGTCCATAAATTATGTACGAGAGGATGAGTTATCGCTGGAAGAGAGGTTAAGGCTTTTGTATGACGCTGGATTCGAAGATGTTGGCTCGAACACCCGCGCACTCTCCGTTGAAGACAACGCCGCGCTGTCGATAGCGAAAACTTCCGTACGGCTTGTAGATGGGCATTTCGAAGTGGCCCTTCCTTGGAGAAACAAGAACGCGGTGGTTGCACACAATTACGAATCTGCTCGGTACAGACTGCAGTGCTTAAGCAGACGATTGTTGAGTAATCCGGATCTCCGAGATCGATATGTGACAGCAATGAAGGCGAATATCAAGAAAGGTTATGCCGTTCCTGTGCCTCCCTACCAATTGCAGCCCCACTATTCTCCCAGGTGGTATTTACCACACCACGCCGTTATCAATCCAAAGAAACCTGAAAAGCTTCGTGTGGTCTTTGATTGTGCCGCAAAATATAGAGGGGTTTCTCTAAACGACCAGTTGTTGCAAGGTCCCGATACCACTGCGGACTTGGTCAGTATACTGCTGCGCTTCAGGACTGAGAGAGTAGCTATATCCGCTGACATTGAAGATATGTTCATGCAAGTGAAAGTGCCGGAAGCTGACAGGGGCGCGTTACGTTTTCTTTGGTGGAAAAATGACGATATCGGTTCAGAAGTGATGGAATATCAGATGACAGCGCATCCCTTTGGCGCGACTTCATCCCCATTCTGCGCTAATTTTGCCTTGTGCCAAACCGCCGTTATGTGGGGACCTCACTACAATGCCAACGTGGCGACGGCGGTCCGCCATAATTTTTATGTCGATGACCTTTTGATTGCGTTGCCGTCGGTATCGGAAGCCATACCTTTTGTAGCCCAAATCAGAGAGATGTTGAGTAAGGCCGGCTTCAAGTTGTGGAAATGGGTCTGCAGCCATACAGACGTGTATAAGGCAGTTCCGCCAGCAGAAATTGCTGAGCCTGTCAAACCGATAGCGGAAATATCAGGTTTCGTCCGGCGGACCCTCGGCTTGTGGTGGAATGCCGAGGAGGATACCTTTCTGTTTCAGTTCGGATTGGCAGAAAAGAGTCCCACGAGAAGAGGTATATTGTCTGCGGTGGCATCTATCTATGACCCTTTGGGGTTGATAGCACCGGTTGTCATGCCTGCTAAATCATTACTGCAAAGGCTATGTCGGGACAAGTTACGTTGGGATGATCCAGTCGCCGGAGAGAATGAAGAAGCCTGGCGTGCCTGGCTAAATGGGGTGAGAGCTTTAGGAGTCCTAAAGGTTCCCAGATGTATTTACCACTCCTTAGATTCTGTCGAACTGCCACAACTACATGTATTCTGCGATGCCTCAGAGACCGGGTATGGCGCAGTCGCGTACGTCAGATTTCGCGCTGGTGATCTCACACTGTGTTCTTTACTCTATTCGAAGTCTAGAGTAGCGCCACTGAAAGCTATCTCCATACCAAGGCTAGAGTTGTCTGCGGCAGTTCTCGCTATCCGAGTGTTTGAGAGCGTTCGTGAAAGGGCCCAAATGAAATTCGAGCGAGTTTGGTTTTGGACCGACTCCACCACAGTTTTATATTACATTAACAACATGTCTGGCAGGTTCAGCACTTTTGTGGCCAATCGACTGTCGACCATTCACGCGTTTTCGACACCCTGTCAGTGGAGATACGTTAACTCGGGATGTAATCCTGCCGATCCGTTATCGAGAGGCACGTACTCCACGGCGCGATTGGATATTTGGTTTAGAGGACCGTGGTTCTTGGCGAGCGACGAAGATGAATGGCCTAATTTCGCTCCACTGGTCGAGCCTGATGAAGTTGAATTTAAGCGTTCGACTGTCCAAGTATTTGCCACTTCAAGCGAGATACCACTGTCCGCCTTGCTTCGCGGGTGCTCTGATTGGATTAAATTGTTAAGGTCAGTCGTGTGGCTTACACGATTCGTAAGGTATTTAAAGAATCGCGTATACGGAACCGATAATGACACACGGCGCACGGTGTTGATCACTCTTGATGAATTCAACAAGGCAGAGGTTGACGTTATTAGAATGACGCAGAACGAAGTTTACGGAGCTGAGTTAAAACGACTTGAAGAGGCTAACGAAGGAGCGTCGACTCTTAGAAGCATAGCGCGCCGGAGCGGTCTGATGCGACTTTGTCCCATACTACGTGGAGGGTTGCTGTGTCTGGGAGGACGAATGGCTTATTCGGAATATGAAAATTCCTTCAAGTTTCCTGCAATATTACCTCCTAAGCATCCAGTGACTGCGCTGTTAATCAGATTTTACCATCTGCTTGAAGGTCATTCTGGTGCTTCACAAGTGTTGGCGAGTCTACGCCGCAAGTACTGGATCGTGAGGGGACTTTCTGCCGTAAAACGGTTGATAGGGAGTTGCTGGACGTGCAGAAGACGGCTCGCCACTGCCGGTCAGCAAATGATGGCACCGCTGCCGTTACCTCGAATAGAAAAGGGATGGCATCCTTTCAAATTCGTGGGCGTCGATTACTTTGGGCCGTTTATGGTCAAGCACGGAAGAAAACGAGAGAAACGGTATGGATGCCTATTCACGTGCCTGCAGACCCGAGCAGTTCACATTGAGTTATCCTGTACCTTGAATACAGACTCCTTTATTATGGCCTTGATGCGATTCGTTGACCGCAGAGGTACACCAGCTGAAATATTTAGTGACAACGGAAGCAACTTTGTGGGAGCGGTTGCGGAACTGAGGGCCGCTACGAAGGAGTGGTCGCAAAAGCGAATTAATGATAAACTGCTATGCCTCGGAGTTCAGTGGCATTTTAATCCGCCGGCGTCCAGCCACAGAGGTGGAGTGTGGGAACGTATCATTCGATCGGTTAGGCGAGTTCTACTATCAATCGCCACGCAACAAGTAATGTGTGAAGAGGCTTTGCGCACACTGTTAGTTGAGGCAGAGCGTATCATTAACAGTAGACCGCTGGTCCCTCTAACTTCTGATCCTACCAATCGGCAGGCTCTAACTCCGAACGACTTACTGATACTTCGGCCCAGTGCATCGGGCTTATTGGCTGAGTCTTTGCCTGACACTTACAGTCGTTATTGGCGGCAGGTACACTACCTAACTGCATTGTTTTGGAAAAGATGGATTAGAGAATATCTGCCGCTGTTGCAAGCTAGACAGAAATGGCTATATCCGCGTCGGAATTTCAGGCCAGGAGACGTTGTTTTAGTCGCTTCTGAAGCTATCGCGCGCAGTATGTGGCCCTTAGGCATTGTAGACAGCTGTGTCACGTCGGAAGATGGGCTCGTCAGAACAGTGCTGGTCAAGACGAAGGAGGGTTTAGTCAAGAGGGATGTGAGAAAAATTTGTTTGTTAGAGGGTAGCGGTTCGGAGGAGGGTGTAGTTCCGGCTGTTGACTCTCCGCAGGCGGGAGACGGGTTTTCGGACCTGTCGCACCAGGGAGGACCGCTGTGAGTTCAACAGTCGAAGTGGGAGGCCTCTGGCGTACCGGTGTAAGTCCTTTGGCCTCCCAGCGTGGATGGAGCGGAAGGGATAGGCGATCCAGAGTAGAATGCATCGCGATCCTATGAAAATCCTGACCGGATTTGGCGGGGAGTGTATCAGAGAGCTCAATTTGTCCAGTCGTTTGGAACTCTCACCACATTGTTTCCCTACAACTCCTTATTATGGACAGCCCATTTCCCTTTGAATGTGCCAGAACCCCGGCTGCTTGTTTTACCTACCCCTTGAACATTGATAAACCATTCGACTTTGCTCCTCTAACCCACCGTCTATGATCGCTCAAACCCGCCTTACACATTTCGCTTTTACACCCTTCATCATTTGATGTGCTAGTTACCGATGTCCCATCGCAGACCTCGCAGGCATCCTCACCCTATCATGCGCTATACAGACACTCCGCCAATCAGCTGTTCCGAACGTGTCTATCCTCATAGCCAATCGATCTTCCAAGCTACGCTATTGGTGTATTTTGCCCTATCAGTCATTGACACATCAAGCGACTTTGCTTGGCATATGTCCATACGTGTAGGCAATCAATTGGTGTATTGGCTTGCTTCGAAGCGGTGCTGCCCAGTTACGCCTTTGCGCACTTGTTTGCTTTTTGTGCTTATCTTTGCTTGGCTTTTGGATCGGTGTTCCGTGGTATCTACTGAAGTTTCTATTGCTTTCTTGTATAAGGAAACCGTTTGAGGTTTGTCACTTTTGGTATTTGTTGTTATTATTCAATAGCACCACAGTTGCACCGGCATTGAGTTTTTGACTTATCCCGGGGATTGCGAATCCGTTCCGGTCTTGAATTTCGATAACCGGTGGCTGCGCGTATTGCTCAAGGTTTCTAAGCGTTTTATCGCTTACAATACTATTTGCCCAGGTAAATTGGCAAATGAGTGAACCATAAACTTTTGCCAAGCTGCTGAGGCTGAACTCAAGCCCATTTGCAAGACTTTTTACTGAAAGTGTCCATCCATATTGAGTAATGCGGTCAGCGGTCTTGACTCCTTAATTAGAGGCATGTGAAAGAAAGCCTTCCTAAGGTCAAATTTTGAAAAATATCGGGCGCCGGCTAGTTTGACTATTAGCTCATCCTCCGTTGGAAGCACAAACTTTTCAACCACGATTTGCCGATTTAGGACCTGCAGGTCATTGCATATTCTTACCGTACCGTCCTTCTTGAGGACTGTAACCATACGGTGGACTCATTCAGAACAGTTAATGGGTTCAATGAGATCATCTGCAATCATCTGCCGTAATGCTGACGAAACAGCCTCTCTTCTGGCCAAAGGAATTGGACGTGGATGAGCAATAGCTGCAGGTTTAGCATCCTGCTTCAGACATATGCGGTGAACGGAGGATGGAGCGCGCCCTATTGTTTGTTCAAATAATTTCGGGTACTGTATCTGTAGGTCTGATAGACTAATTGCCATGATACGCATACGAGATGGGGACGGCGTGACTCCCAGTGCAACCATAGCTTTGCGTCCGAGTAAGGGACGGTTATTTCCGCGGGTGACGTACACAGCAACGGATGATTTCACAGCCCCAAGTTGCAACACAACCACCACAAATCCTCGTATTTCTACCGGGGCCTTTGTATAACTGTCAAATCGATAGGCTGAAGGATGTATGGGCATGTCATGTAGGCGAATGTCATAAAAACTACTCGGTACTATAGTGATAGGAGAGGCTGAATCAAGTTCCGTGTCATCATGTGTTGTTCTATCATGTGCAATAACTGTAACAGTACGAATGTCAGGCATGGGTAGTTTAGGCTCTGGACAATTGGAACGATAGTTAGACACTACCTGTGTTATCAATGGAAAATACATTTTCAGAGGACTGTAACTGCTGACTAGAAACGGAATCTGTAGGATGCAACTGAGAAATGCGCACTGAACGACAACAACGGGCAAAATGTCCACGCTTACCGCACTTTTTGCAATCCATTTCCTTCCTTTCGGAGTTTTGGGAGCAGCAAGACCTTGGTTCCTTCTATAATGCCACATTGGGATGGTATATTCCACGTGAGGTTGTAGACTGGTGACGACTAGACCGAGCACAACAGAAGTGCAGACACACGTGACCATTCGCACACAGAGGGCCGTAAGTTAAGGCCGTTCGCCAGGCAAAGGAAAGCGGTCGATCGAACATAGGTTAACATGGCGCAATTATGATGGATGCAAAAATGGAGGAATTTGGAAGGGCGTTTCCGGGCCAGGTAAACCGGAGGGTGGACAGTCTAAACGACTACAATATTGCCCTAATTTTAAGCTGTTCCGAATGAGCTTTCAAACGCGTTCAGCACCCGGGTGAAGATGGACGAATCTAAACTGTCGATTAGCCTTGGAAACAGGCCAGCATACTGTTTACCTGATGTTAATTCGGATTCCGACTGTCTGAAAACAACAACGAATGAGGCATACCATGGTTTTCTACACGCCTGGTCAGGTGGTACTTTGTTATCGAACGTTCTTAAACACACAACAATGGCTGCTGAGAATGAAATGTCCATTGTTAGCATATATCTCGATATGCGTGAATCATTTCACTGAGTTACACACACTGCGAAACGTGACAATTAGTTAGCATCTTTACTTGATTGTATCTACGGATCTCCACGAGCAACACACCATGAAACCTTGCAGCTAATGGATGCTGTTGACACAGTTTCTAGCACTACCTACAAAGTTGCAACCCACTCGTAACATTCACCGAATTGGCTGTAATGCAGTTAAGGAACTATGAATTGGGAGTCATCATTGTGCACCAACAACCCGACTATGGCTGCAGGTGTATCTGTGAACTACGTTGCTGTGTATTCGGATGTACTACAACCTGTGGTAAGGAGCTGCACCTATAAACAATGCGACAAACATAAGCAACTGAACAAACTTCTAACAAACTTAGGGGTTATTGTTCCAGGGCCGACATGTTTGCAAAGTTATTATGTTGACATTAAGCCATATTAGAGCTATAACGCTTGAGCAAAGCGCCGAAGTCACCAACGAGAATCGGTGGTGAAAATATTTCTGTTTTGTAACTAGATGTCTTCACTCCGTCGCTAAAGTACAGTTCCTACTCTGTAAACAATAACTCTGCTGCCTATGCAGTCCTGCAAAGAATACTCAGGAGCGAAGTCGTTCACTTTATGACACCATTGAACTGATCAACCAATCACAGCAGCCCTTTATTTTAAACTGCTCCTACGTTACTTGGCAGCTATTCTTTCACCATGTGAGAACCATGATTGACAGAGGAATGGGGGTAACCATAATTGAGTGACTTGACAAACACAAGGTTTACGTCAGATCTGCAACGGAAGTACGTGACCCTGGTCTCGTAGAAGCGCGTAACACAGCCTATGGAGCTTAAACGGCTTCGTCTACCGACGTTGTTTACACTAAAGCTCAACAGAGACACCTACACACTGTCGGACTAACGAGCGATTGCGCCTTAACATCGCCTAGTTAGATCGATGTACTCCAGCATCCTTGATGGCCTGAGGCAACCGCATTTCCGAGCAAGCGAGTAAATCGCGCTGAGACACATTTATAAGTAAATCTAACTCGTACTGTTTATCTTTCTCACGTAACCGCTTTGCTTTCTTTTTTCAGAGCATTCGTTCTACCCGACGAATAATTGGCACCATTACCTATCGCAACAATATGGGTGTGAAATCAATCGTTATGCATTATACGTATATTTATATGAAATATGTTACATGAGCATAAATATCAACGACCTAAATGTTCAAAATGATAACGTCGTTTCGCTTGCAGTGCAGGCTTTGCCGGATGCATTTGGCTAGTATTTCTGCGAAGTGTCCACCGAGATACCACAAAATTCGTTGACGATGCTCCGTTTCAGTTCTTCCAGACAAGTGGGCCTCGTTTTATAAACTCGACGTTTCAAGTATCCCCATAGTGGTTTTGCTGCTGTCCCCAGTTCCACTGGGCGAATGATGTCCACTCCCGAGGAGCTGTGGTTTCGCAGAGACGTCAGCTTCAGCAGTAAAAGTGATGTAAGTAAGTACAATAGGCAGGAACTCAAAATCTGAAAGATGGTGTGATGGTAAAACTGCCTGCAATGCGGGAGCATATTGGGTCCGTAACAGGATTGCTGTTACTATAGCTGCTGTAGTTGGACCATCGGCCGTCCGGAATGAAAGAATTCACAGCCTCACCTTACAAAGACCATTGAGATATTCGTACAGCAGTTCGTGGTTAGAGCTGAAAACTTTCACTATGTTCTGTTGATATACAGCTTATCTTCGCTGTGCAGTTGAGTGCAGTGGTTCCGCTGAGCTACGTAGTTGTCTCAATTATCTGGCTTTGGTGTTGATTTATACTCTCGACTGGCTGCGTTATGTATAGTCATCCACCTTCGAGTTACACCTTTTACAAAAGAAACGGTTTTAGACCTATTGCATAACCTTGTCTCTGAGGCACCTGTAACCAGTTAATTGAACTTGCTGACGAATTCGAGCCAAGCGATTTCCTAGGGTCCTTCGGCGACGAACGATCGGGTTGTGGAATTGACGAGCTGGGCTAAGCGGTTGTCGCTGTGAGGTTGCGCGCCAACACTCGTTTCTCGTGACGATGCTCTGCATAACAGATAACGTTAAAACTGGTGACTGCATGATCACCATGATCTAAAGAGCAGTGTACAACCAGTATATCAATCATGTGTTCCTCGTTGGTGAACACAAGATCCAACCAAGATGGTTTATTACCTGTTCAGAAACGAGTGGGCAAAATGACGTGATTGTAAAGTGAAACATTAGTTATGAGCTTTTGCATATCGGCTTTGAATTGTTCTCCGATTGTAGCAGAGGTCACTAAACAATGTACGTTGAAATCACCCATGAGAAGGCTATGGGTGTGCTTCCGCTTTAGACCTCATATTGGAGCTGTCGCAAGGTGGCAGTTCATTTCAGGAGTAGAGTTTTGGGGGATGGTGTATCAGGCGTTTCTGTCATGTAATTGCAGGCTGCACCAAACAGAATTGGCGAACACTGAGGCTGAATCCTCCACGGTCTCGTAGGGTGAGTCACTTCTGTAATAAAGAATTACTCCTCCTCCTTTCGTAAGTCTGTTGTTTCGTATGAGTGACATGCCCGGCAGCGAGACTTAAGTGTCCTTCATCCCATTGTGCCACCATGTCTCCGTGATACAGATGATATCGCATGACTTCACAATTTGACGATCTTGCAGTTCGGACAGCGTACTGAAAAGGCTATGAGCATTGGTATTGTAATGTACCGGAAAAAACGCCCTTTCAGTAGTTTGCAAACTCGGAGTTTACCGTTGTTTTGTCCTTCAAAACGTCCACTTGTTTTACTGACGGCCCTTCCTTTTACACAATTTGCTTTGGTGAGTATCTTGCAGCACCGTTTCTCACTCTGGTTGATTCGCTTCCTATTGTTGTAGCCTTCACAATCCACGTTGGGTTCCGTCGCCTCGAACATCGGTACTGCCCATATTTGGCAGTCTCTTACGTGTCATTAATTACCGACTAGTATCCCAGCGCCACCCAACAATTGGTGACCCCGGTCCAGAATACGCCGTCCGCCATTTTGAATTTCGTTCTGGTGAGCTCGTTCCAATGAGTTTGTGATTCAGTACTTGTGATCATTATGTTTTCTCAACTACCACATATTTTATTCGCTTTTTGCAATGGATTATCTGGAAGATAAGCCATCTCCATACGCCATGGAAACTGTCATGGTCACTACTGTTACGTTAGCGCTT